GAGGAGGAGCGCTGGCATGGTGGAGCTTGTAGTGGCTGTGGAGAGAAACCCCTCCTCACAGCTACAGGAAAGAAAGGAGTACTTGTGGTCACAGGCCAGGAAAGGAGTAAACACTTTGCCCCTTATACCACCTTGGTAGAACTGAAAATTTACAGGTCCCTACAAGTATCTCTGAAAACAGCTACACAAACCCCTGAAGCTTGGGACAGTACACTCTCCACATTGGAAGCAGACTCTTACCTTAACAAAGAGTTTAAAACTCAAGTAATTGGCTGGGATCATGAGCAAGCAGTGCAAAAAAGTCAGACTATATTATCTTACTTTGGTGAAAAAGAAGATCAAAATATACAACCAGAAGAAGACAACAAAGTCAAAGCTCCTACATCCAAAGCCTCCAAGAAAAATATGAATCAGTCCCAGGCCTTGGAAGAGCTCAAAAGGGATTTTGAGAAGCAAGTAAGGGAAGTAGAGGAAAAACTGGGAAGAGAAATGAGAGTGATGCAAGAAAATCATGAAAAACAAGTCAACAGCTTGCTAAAGGAGACCCAAAAAAATACTGAAGAAAATAACACCTTAAAAAACAGCCTAACCCAAATGGCAAAAGAGGTCCAAAAAGCCAATGAGAGAAAAATGCCCTAAAAAGAAAAATTGGCCAAATGGAAAAGGAAGTCCAAAAGATTACTGAAGAAAATACTTCCTTAAAATTAGAATAGAGCAATTGGAAGACAGTGACTTTATGAGAAATCAAGACACTGTAAAACAAATCCAAAAGAATGAAAAATTAGAAAACAATGTGAAATATCTCATTGGAAAAACAACTGACCTGGAAAATAGATCCAGGAGAGAGAATTTAAAAATTATTGGACTATCTGAAAGCCATGATCAAAAAAAGAGCCTAGACATCATCTTTCAAGAAATTATCAAGGAAAACTGCCCTGATATATTAGAACCAGAGGGCAAAATAGAAATTGAAAGAATCCACTGATCACCTCCTGAAAGAGATCCCCAAAGGAAAACTCCTAGGAATACTGTAGCCAAATTCCAGAGTTCCCAGGTCAAGGAGAAAATATTACAAGCTGCCAGAAGGAAACAATTCAAGTACTGTGGAAACACAATCAGGATAACACAAGATTTAGCAGCTTCTACATTAAAGGACTGCAGGGCATGGAATATAATATTCCGGAGGGCAAAGGAGATAGGATTACAACCAAGAATCACCTACCCAGCAAAACTGAGTATAATCCTTCAGGGGAAAAAATGGTCATTCAGTGAAATAGAGGACTTTCAAGCATTCCTGATGAAAAGACCAGAGCTAATAGAAAATTTGACTTTCAAATATAGGACTCCAGTGGAACATGAAGAGGTAAACAGGAAAGAGAAATCATAAGAGACTTATTAAGATTGAACTGTTTACATTCCTGCATGGAAAGATGATATTTGTAACTCATGAGAACTTTGTCAGTATTAGGGTAGTTGAAGGAAAAAAATTGTATGTATGTATAGATAGATAGATAGATAGATAGATAGATAGAGGGCACAGGGTGAGTTGAAGATTAAGGGGTCATATCTGGAGAAATAAAATTAAGGGATGAGAGAGGATGATACTCGGAGAAGAAAGGGAGAGGTAGAATGGGGTAAATTATCTCACAAAAAAAACAGAAAAGAAAAGTCTCTCACAGTGGAGGGGAAACAGGGGAAGGTGAGAGGGAATGAGGGAATCTTATTCTCATAGGATTTGGCTTAAGGAGAGAATAACATACACATTCAATTGGGTATGGAAATCTGTCTTACCCTACAGGAAAATAGGGGGAGAAGGGGACAAGAGAGCAGGGGGTGATAGAGAGGAGGGCAGACTGGGAAAGAGGTAATCAGAAGCAAATACTTCTGAGGAGGGACAGGGTCAAAAGAAAGAACAGAATAAATGGAGGGCAGGATAGGATTAAGGGAAATAGAGTTAGTTTTTCACAACATGTCTACTAAGGAAGTGTTTTGCATAACTGCACATGTACAACCTATACCGAGTTGCTTGCCGTTTCAATGAGGGTGGGTGGGGACAGAGGAATGGAGAAAATTTGGAACTCAAAGTTTTAAAAACACATGTTTTAAAAAAATGTTTTCACATGCAACTGGGAAATAAGAAATACAGGAAATGGGGTACAGAAGTCTATCCTGCTCTACAGGAAAATAGAAGGGGAAGGGGATAAGAGAAGGGAGGGGGGAGAGATAGAAGAGAAGGCAGACCAGGGGAAGGGGTATTCAGAATGCATGCCATCTTGGGGTGGGGGGAGGGGTGAGAAATTTGGAAGTCAAAAACTTGTGGAAGTGAATATTGAAAACTAAAAATAAATAAATTTATATTAAAAAAAAGAAAAAAAGAAAAATTAGAGATGATAGATCATTGGGATAATAGACCAACAGTCATTGGGAACAGAAAGGAGTTTACAAAATTCTTAACCATTCATGGCATCTTTACAAAACCTGACCGTGTTTAAAATATAAAGACCCTACCAAAATGCATTAAATTAGAAATACTAAAAATGTCATTTACTGTTCATAGCATAATAAAATTATATTCAATAAACTGTCTTTGAAGAAAAAATTAAAAATCAATTGGAGACTAAATAGCTTAATTCAAAAGATTTCATGGATCAAAGAAATGTAACAAAATTTATGGGATGTAGCTAAAGCAGTCCTTAGGGGAAACCTTATTTTTCCAAATGCTTTTATCAAAAATAGAAACAAAAAAATCAATGAATTGGGCATTCAACTAAAAAAGAAAAAAAAGCAAATGATACCATTCCCCTAACTAAACAACAAAGTAGAAATTATGAAAATCAAAGAAAAGATTAATAAAAGAGAAGACAAAGGGATACTATCAAGGTAAAATTAACAGGACTTGAAAACAGACTGGATGGGAAGGGGTTGAGAGAGAATGAAGACTTCAGGATGACACGTAGGTTATGAACCTGGTTAACTGGGAAGATGTTAGTATCCTTGTCAGTAATTGCTAAATTCATAAGAAGGGAAAATTTTGGGGGAAAGATGATGAGTTCAATTTTGGGCATGTTGAGTTTAAGATGTCTATGGGACATCTCATTTGAGATGTCTAATAGGAAGTTTGGAGATGTGAGACTAGAGGTTAGAGTTAGATAATTAGATCTCAGAATCTTCAGCATACAAGATTACTTAAGCCATGGGCACTAAAGATCATCAAGTGAAATAGTATAGTGGGAGATGAGAAAAGGACCCAGGATAGAGCCAGGACACTTACTTTTAATGGCCATGATCTAGATGAAAATCTAGCAAAGAGACCACAGAGTAGTCAGACAGGTAAGGAGAACAACCAGGAAAGAAGAGAGTCACTAAAACCTAAAGAGAAGATGGTATTGAGGAGAAAAAAGTGAACAGTAGTATCAAATCTACACAGAGGTCAAGAAGGATGAAAATGGAAAAAAAGGCCAATACATTTGGCAATTAAGAAATGATTAGTAACTTTGGAGAAAGCAGTTCTTGTTGAATGATGAGGGAAGCCAAAGTGTAGATAGTTAAGATGTGAGAGAAAAGGAAATAAAGGAACTTATTACAGGCAGCCTTTTAAAAAAAACAATTTAAGCAAAGAAATGCATTTATCCAAGTCAATAGCAAAACAAATCAGAGAAAGTATATAAATATAGGAGGATATATACCAGCCAATACAGAGTGAAGGAGCTCTCCCATTGGGAGTGAGATAATTCAGCTCAACCAAGAGAGAGACTCAGATCTCACCCAAGAAAAAATTCCCCAAAGCCTCTAACTGTAGCAAGCTGGGCATAGTTCCAAATCGCTCTCCAGAATGGTTGAATCAGTTCACAACTCCACCAAAAGTGCAGTAGTATCCCAGTCTTGTATCCCCTCCAACATCCAACATTTTTCTTTTCTGTCATATTATTCACTCTGATAGGTATTAGGTAGTGCCTCAGAGTTGTTTTAATTTGTATTTCTCTGGTAAATAGTGATTTAGAGCATTTTTCATATGACTATAGATAGCTTTGATTTCCTTGTCTGCAAACTGACTGTTCATATCCTTTGACCATTTATCAATTGGGGAATGATTTATATTTTTATAAATTTGACTCAGTTCTCTCTATATTTGAGAAATGAGGCCTTTATCAGAGATACTTGTTGCAAAAAAAAATTCCCAGTTTTCTGCTTATAATTTTTGTTGCATTGGTTTTCTTTGTGCAAAAACTTTTAAATTTTATATCAAAATTATCTACTTTATATTTTATAACGCTCTCTATATCTTCTTTAGTCCTAAATTCTTCCCTTATCCATAAATCTGACAGATAAACTATTTCATGCTTTCTTAATTTGCTTATGGTATAACCCTTTATGTGTAAATCATGTGCCCATTTTGAACTTATTTTGGTATGTGGTGTGAGATATTTGTCTATACCTAGTTTTTGCCATACTGTTTTCCAGTTTTCCCAGTAGTTTTTGTCAAATAATGAATTTCTGTTCTCTGGATCTTTGGGGTTTATTATATACTAGATTACTATGGACATTTACTATAATGTAATTTGTATCTAATGTATTCCACTGATCCACCACTATTTCTTAGCCAATATTAGATTGTTTTGATAATTACCACTTTATAATACAGTGAGATCTGGTATGGCTAGACCACCTTCTTTTGCATATTTTTTATTGATTCCCTTGATAACCTTGAGCTTTTGTTCTTCCAGATGAAATTTTGTTATTTTTTTCTAGCTTTATAAAATAGTTTTTGATAGTTTGATTGGCATGGCACTGAATAGATTAGGTAGAATTGTCATTTTTATTATATTGGCCAATATAACTGGCAATTAATATTTTTTCCAATTGTTTAGATCTGACTTTATTTGTGTGAAAAGTGTTTTATAGTTGTATTCATATGGTTCCTGGGTTTGTGTTGCAGATAGGTTCCCAAATATTTTATATTGTCTACAGTTATTTTAAATGGAATTTCTCTTTCTATCTCTTGCTGCTGGAATTTGTTGGTGATATATAGAAATGCTGGTGCAGCGTAGTTCTTTTAAAAAAATTGTGATAATAACCACGAAATCCCAGAAAAGTTGTCTCTAACATCTTGTGGGCATGGCCACCTGAGAAATGCTTTTACCTTTTCTGGATCAGTGCTCACATCTTACTGGGAAACAATGTGGCCAAATACATAGTTTGCAGAAGCTTTGCAAAATTAGCATTTATCAATTGACAGGTTCAGACTAACTTTCTCTGGCCAATTTAACATTTCATCAGTCTCTCCTCATGTCCTCCAATGTCTTAAAGTCAATGATATCATCAAAGTACACTTGTTACTTTTCCAGTTAGTTGATGTCTCCAGCCACTTTCTCTGTCAGCCTTCGGAAAATGTCTGGTGCATCTGAGATGCCTTGGGGTGTTTACCCACACCGATAAAATCCAGCGGGACAAATGAAAGCAGTCTTTTCCTTGTCTTCCTCAGACATGGGAATCTGGTTGTATCCATTATGAAGTCCAAAAGTGAAAACCACTGGAAGTTTAGCAGACAATCCAGTGCATCTTGTACCTGTGGCATAATGAACTGATCCACATTAGTCCTTTTGTTAAAAGTTCAGTCATCAACACACCACAGCATCTTTCCATTCTTCTTAGGCATTACTCCTATGAGGGATGCATAAGGGCTGCTGTATTCTGTGATGATAACATTAATCAGCATTTCTTTGAGTTGGTTTCTGAGATCTTTAATCATAGAGTAATAGACTTAGATCTTTCTCTGAATGGTTGGAAATCAGTGAGCTGGATTCTGTGGGTTGAACTTCAAGTACATCCCACATCCTACTCATGCAATGAGGACATTCCTGACCTCTTGCTGAGTTTCAGCTTCAACCTATCCTTCTACTCCTATGGTATTGGGAAAAGTCCACAAAGCCAAATACCTCAGCATCCGGCTCAGAGTTAGGGTTCCTGTGATGTTCGCTGGAACCTGTTGCCTCTATCCCCTTGTAAGCCTTTACAGTTTGCATGAATAGTCAAAGTGTGCTGGTATTGGGTCACAAATAGCCTTCTCAAGGAGTTTAGCTGAAAAGGGAGAAAAGATATGGTATGATTGCTAGTGGAGATGGGAGGATGAAGAGAGGGATTTTTGAGGATGGAGGGAATATGGGCATGTTTGTAGGTAGCAAGGAAGCAGCTAGTAGACAAAGAGATTGAAGATAAGTGAGAAGTTGGGGATGATGGAAGGGGGCAGTCTTCTGGAGAAGATAGGATAGAATGTAGATATCCATGTAAAAGGGCTTGCCTTAGCAAGGAGAAGGGCTGCTTTTTCATGTGAGAGGGGTGAAGGAAGAGATATTGACAGTAGGTATCTGGATGATGTGAAATAAGGAGGAAGGGAGCAGTAGGTAGTCTCAGCAAATGGTCTTAATTTTTTCTGTAAAATATGAAGCAAAGTTCTCGGCCAAGAGAGTTGGGGGAGGGGAGGCTATGGGAGGTTTGAAGAGGGATGAAAAGGTTTGTAAGAATTGCTGTGGTGTGGAATAGTGAATCAATTAAGTAAAAGGATTGCCTTGCCCTAGTGAGAGCCCAGTTGAGGTTAGGTAACATAAACATGTAGCAGACCCAGTCAGCATGGTTTTGTGATTTTCTCCAGCTTTGTTCAGTGGCACTTGTGTGTAGGAGCAAAGGCAGTGGGTGATATGGATGATATGAGTGATCCAAGGCCGAGGTTTAGGCAAGATTGGCAGTAGGATAAGGGGGCCTTAAGAGACTCAAGAGATGAAGACAGTATGGAGTTGAATTGGTTCAACAAGGGGTCAAAAGGGAGAAGGAAGAGAGTATAGCTAGTACAGGGGATGAGGGACTGGAGATTATGGAGAGGAAGAAGAACAAGATTTGGAGTTTTAAGGCAGAGGGAGAGATAGAATGACAGTGGATTGTGATCAGATAAGGGAATTTCAGAGTTCTTGAACATGGAAATGGTGTATTTGTCAGTGCTGTCAATAGTTAGAGAAATGTAAATTAAAGCAACAAGGTTCCATCTCATACTGACAATATTGACAAAGATGATAAAAGAAGAAAATGACAAATGTTGGAGGGTCTTTTTGAAAAGAGAGGTTGTGGATGGAGCTGTGAATTGGTCCAGCTACAGTAGACAAGAATTTAGAACTATTCTTCCAAAGTTACTAACCTGTGTATCCCCTTTGACCCAGAGATACCACTACTAGGCTTTTGCCCCAGTGAGATCATAGAAAAAAGATAAAAAGCCTATGTGTATAAGAATATTTATAGCAGCTCTTTTTGTACTAGCTAAAAACTGGAAACTCTGGGAGTACCCACCTGTTGAGGAATAGCTAAACAAATTATGGTACATGAATGTAATGGAATGGAATGTAATTGTACCATAAGATATGATTAAATGGACAATTTCAGAGGAAAGTGATTATACTTCAATGGCCTGATGCATCGTGAAATGAGCAGGAGTAGACTACAATTTACACAATGATAATGTTATAAAGAAAAACAACTTTGAAAGACTTTATTTATGAATTTATCAATTTATCAATGAAACGACAAATCACATTTCCAGAGGACCTAAGATGAAGCAAGCTTTTCACTTCCTGCCAGAGACATTATAGACTTTGAATCCAGAGTGAGACATACATTTTTTTGAACATGGCCAATACGAGAACTTGTTTTGCTTAATTATGCACATTTGTTATGATGTTTGGGAGGAAGTGGGAGGGAGAAAAACCATGTTTGTTAAAAAATCAGATAAAAAAATGAGATAGAACAAAACTTTAAATACTTAAAAAAAAAAAGATAAGCAAGAGCCTTGGCAATTGTGGAGGGCTTTAACTGCCTCTAAGATGAAATAGAGGCAATAAATATGGAGGCAATGAAACTGCCTAACCAAGAGAAATGGTTAGGTCTGTACATTAATAGCATCAATCCAGAAGCTGTGTGGATGATAGGCTCAGAGAGCTGATTCAGGGGGACCAATTAGGAGGTTACTGATAGTCTAAGCAAGAGGTGATGAGAAAGTGAACAAGGGTAGTTGTGGTAAGTGGAGAGAGGGAAATGGATAGGAGAGATATTGTAGGGTTAAACTGAAAAAACTTATGAGGAGATGAGGGAAAATGCACAGTCAATAACCCTAAGTTGTAAACCTGGTGTTACCCTTAACAGAAGTTAGGAGGAGGGGAAGGTTTGAGGGAAAGAAGATGAATTCACTCTTGGATGTTCTGTTTGAAACGCTTATGTCTAGGTGAAGACGTTTAGCAGGAAGTTAGAGATGCAGGCCTGGGATTTAGGAGAGAGATGGGGCTTGGATAGACATCTGATTAGAGAAAATAGTTGAATCTATAGGAACTATCAAGAATAAGACAGAGTACAGTGAAAGAAGAAGGAGTAGGTTAAAAAAAAGAGTAGGGGAGAGTCTTGATATACACCCACATGTGAGGGGTGAAGCATGATCATGTAAAGGAAACTGAGGAGGGAGAGAAGAGCTAAAAGGAGGGACTGATCAACAGCGGGGTCAAAAAGTATGAGGACTGAGAAAAAGTAGATTTAGTGATACAGTGATCATGAGTGATCTTGGAGAGGTTATTTCTAGTTGAGTTCAGAAGTCAGATCATAAAAGGGTTGAAAAGTGAGTGGGTGGCTGATAAAACAGAAGTAATAGACAGCTTTTTCTAGGATGGGGTTCTTAACCTTTCTTGTACCATGAACCCCTTCCTTTTTTTTTTTTTAGGCAGTTGGGGTTAAGTGACTTGCCCAGGGTCACACAGCTAGTAAATGTCAAGTGTTTGATCTGAGGTCACATTTGAACTCAGGTTCTCCTGACTCCAGGGCCAGTGCTCTATCCACTGCGCCACCTAGCTACCCCTCATGAACCCCTTCTTAAAATAGTATTTTTAAATGCATAAGATAAAATATATAGGTTACAAATGAAATCAATTATGATGAATACATTTATCAAGATATTATGAAAATATATACATAGACCCCCATCCCCCACCCCTAACCCTTGTTTAGGAAATTTACTTTCAAGGGAAGGAAATGTAAAGGATTATATTGAGGGGATCAAGTAAATGTTTCTTAGAGATAGGAAAGATCTAGGCATGTTTGTAGGTAAGAGGGAAGAAGCCAGTAGCTAAAGAGAGGTTGAGTTTAGGAAGAGAACCTTACCCTGCCATGACCTCTACTTTTGTACCCTCGATTTATTCCCTTTCATCTCCTTCTGGTAACTTGACTCTTCAATCATTCCCCACCCTCCTCTTCAATCTTGAGTTATCAGGAGTTGGTATTTCCTTCCCATTGCCTACAAACACGAGCAGGTGTCTCTCATTATTAAAACACAAGCAACCCTTCACCTGACCCTGTCATCATTATTCTTCCTATATCTCTCCCTCCTTTCACCAAGTCCTAGAAAAATTTTTCTACACTTGCTTTTCCCATTCCTTTTTCTCTTATTCACTTTTCAATCTGGATTTTTTTTTTTTTGGTGAGGCAATTGGGGTTAAGTGACTTGCCCAGGTTCACACAGCTAGTGTTATGTGTCTGAGGCTGCATTTGAACTCAGGTCCTCCTGACTCCAGGGCTGGTGCTCTATCCACTTTGCCACCTAGCTGCCCCCTCAATCTGGCTTTTGACCAGACTACTTAATTAAAACTTTCTCTCCAAGGTAAATTATCATCTTACCACTAATAAAATTCCATGACCTTTTTTCAGTCCTCATTCTACTGACCCTTTCTACAGCTTCTGACACTGTGTATCACCATACCCTCCTGGGTCTTATCATTTCTGTCACTCTCCTGGGGCTTCTTCTGTCCCTTCCTTTCCTGGATCATCATCAGAAGAAAGGCCCTTGAAAGCTACTACGCCATCTTAGAATTTGCTGACAGCAAACTGTATTTATCATTGATGGGAACCACAATGGGTGGGGCTTGTGAGCTTTAATAGGAGGAAGACTTTAAACTTGGATTAGGAAAGGCATGTGAGCAGACCTTGAAAGAAGCTAAAGAAAGACTGGGAGTACAATTTCAGCCCTGAAATAATTTACATGTTCTAGAAAGGAGTAGAAGCTAAGGTAATAAAGTTAGGTTAGAGTCAGATTGTGGAAGACTTTAAATTTGCATTCTGTACTAGAAACTATAGGCCAGGGGTGGAGAACCTGCAGCCTCCAGGCCACACGTGGCCTTCTAGTTCCAAGTTTTACAGAACAAATCCTTTTATCAAGAGGATTTGTTTTGTGAAGTTTGGATTCAGTCAAAAGGCTGCACTTGAGGATCTAGAGGGCCACGTGTGGCCTGCAGTCTACAGGTTCCCCACCCCTCCTATAAGCAGTCAGTGAATGGGCACTCTAAGGATGGATACCCCTCAAATCTCCATCCTGGGCCCTCTTCTCTCTCCCCATTCACTTGATGATTGAGTTAGTTCTTGTGGATTCAATGATCATTTCTATACTGATGATTTCCTAAATCTATATGTGTGTGTGTGTATGTATCTATACACACATATATGCACACACACATATATAATCCTCTAGCCTAAAAGTTTCTTTCAGGGGTACCACTAGCATTACAATCACTCAGGTTCACAATCATTCTTGGCAATTTTTCATTCTCACTGCTCCAGTCTCCTATTCAATAAATTACTAAGTTTTGACATTTCTATTTCTATGGCATTTCTCCCATCCGTTCTCTTTTCTCCACTCATCCTTAATCACCCTAGTTATAGCCTCCAATCACTTCTCACTTGGAGTATTGAAAAACTTACCAGTTGGTGCCCCTACATCCACTCCATCCTCCACACAGCTGCCAGATTGGTCTGCCTAAGGCAAAAGTCTGACCACATCACTCTTGACCACAAACCTTGCAGTGACTCCTCAGTGTCTCTAGGGCAAAATGCAAGAGCCAGTGTTTAGTATTTGACATCCTCCATGATCTATTTTTCCAGACTTATAGCTAATAACAGTTACCATTTGTATAGTGCTTTAAGGTTTGCAAAGTACTTGCCATAGGTTAACTCACTGGATTTTCACAACAACCTTGTAAAGTCGGTGCTATTATTATCCCCATTTTACAGATGAGGAAATCGAGGCAAGAGAGATTAAGTGACTTGCCCTGGGTCAGAGGTACCATTCAAGGTCAAGTCTTGCTAAATATCAGCACTATCAATTGCATTTATTCCTTTTCTGACTGTCTCTTCTTCACATGCAACAACATTCCATCCCCCGCCCGCCTTCGTTTATATACACCGCTTCTGTCATGTCTGGAACTGACTGCCTCCTCAACTCTTCTTGCAGCAATTGGCCATTTTCCTCCTCAGTTTCGGCCCCTCCCAACCTGCTTCCCCGCAGGTGGTCCAAGTGTGTAGTCAGGGCGTCCTCTGGAGGTGAGACGCGGGAAGAGGCCATTTGCTTACCAGGGAGATGAGGCTGAGGGAGGGAAGAGCGCCTTCCCTAATGCGGCTGGGAACTACCACTCCCAGCAGGCAGCAGGGCAACGGCGGAGGGGCGAATCCTGGAAGATTGATGGGGATTGTAGTCCAGGCACGTCTTATTGCCGTCCTGCAGCCCGCTCAACTAAGGACCAATCCGAAGGCGGGGGAAATCTCGCAAGAAAGAGACGGCGCGTCTTGCCCGAACTTGGCTGCTCCCGGGGACCTGGCTGGCGGCAGGTTGGCTCTGCACGCGACGTGAGCGCAGCCCCCTCTGCCTCGCCTGCCCTTGTGGGAGAGCAAGGCGCCCCGACCCCTGCCGGGCTTCCGGGTGTCCGCCTGTGCTGCGCACCACGAAGTGGGCTCAGAGAGCAGCGAGGTGCCGAGGAGGAGGAGGAGGAGGAAAGCTCCCGTCTTGCCGCCGCCACTACTTTTGAGACCTTAGGCAAGTCACTTCCCCCCGAGAGACCTGGCCTTGGAGCTGCTCATCGTGCATCTCTTCTTCTCCCCCTCCGTGTGTGTGTGTGTGTGTGTGTGTGTGTGTGTGTGTGTGTGTGTGTAGCCCCCACCACCTTAACCCCCAGGGGACTCTGTGTGTGTCTGTGTGTTTAGCCCCCATCACCTTAACCCCCAGGGGACTCCCGAAGCCACCCCCACCCCGCCGCCCACCTCGCCCATGTCTTTGCCCACGTTTCCCAGGGCCGAATAACCAGAACCACGGAGCCAGCACTCACACCCTGCTGCAGTGATGAGCCCCCCCAGGCTGCCCCCGAGCCAGCCGAGCCCCCGACCCCTTCTGCGGAGTGGGGGAAGAGCAGGGCCCTGGCACCCCAGCTCCTCTGGAACTGGACGGAGAAGCCCCCGTGGAGGAGGTGGTTCTTGGAGAAGAAGGGCAGGAACCCTCCCAAAGTGAAGCCTTCCCCGAGGTTGATGGGGCAGTTCCCAAACTTGCGCCTAGGGAACCCACGGAGGAAGTCTTGAAGGAGCCAGACCCGGAATGTGAGGAATACTAGTAAGTGCCTTGGAGGACCTCAGTTCTGCCCCTCTCCCCAGTCCTCCCAGAGGCCCTGTTTTCCTCAGGGACCCAAGCATCTAGTCTTCATCTCCCTTTCCAGTTCCTGGAGCTATAATTTCTCCCATTCTCCACGCCTTCTCAATGGCTCCTGGTCAGAGTTCAGCTTACAACCTGAGAACTTCTTAAAAGGCTGTAAATGGTAAGGATAATTGGGGGTGAAGGGAAGAGAAGTGAGATTGTGGGTGAATTAGCTGGGGAGGGGGTGGAGGGAAGAGAAGGGAGATTGTGGGTGAACTAGATGGGGAGGGGTATTGGATGAGAAAGGACAAGATTATGTTATCAGGGAGATGTTGGATCTGAGCTAAGAGGGTTAATTGGTGTTCTTTGAGTTGAGTTGAGCTGGGTTTTCATTGCTCAGTTCACTCCCAGGACCCAGTGCCTGCTATTTCCTTCAGGGACTCAGGAGTTCCTATCTCCCCACCCACTCAGCTACCAGGCATCCAGCCTAAATCTCCTCTGCCTCCAGGGCCCCAGATGGCTCCTGCCTCTTGACCAACAGTGCCGACAACACCTTGCGGATTTATAACCTACCCCCAGAGCTGTATAATGAGGAGGAAGAGCTCAAGAATACGGAAATGGTGAGTGTAGGCACCTGCACCTTTCCTTCAATTACCACTACAGAAGATATGCCATTATGTCTTTTTCTCCTAGTTGCAAATAGTAGATTCTTTATACAAATCTGACCAACATTACATCCTTGCACAGAAGCATTCATTGGACTCTGTTGCTTCTAGGATAAAATGCAAATTTAGAACTTTTACTATCTGGCCATAATTTATCTTTACAGACTTAGTTCATGTTATTCCTTTTCTACAACCTGCGCACATTCCAGCCAGACTCTGTACATTTCTTCTAGGGCTGAAAAGCACTTTTTCATTTTCCTTAGTTTTTCTCAAAGTCTGCTCAGATTCTCTAAATCTTTCCTGATCCCATAGTTAAAATCTTCCTCATTTTTTTTTAATTTTCCCTGTGTCCTGTATCCTTTCCTTCTAGCAGAGTATAAGCTTCTGGAGAGTAAGGGAGGATTTTTTTTTCTTCGTATTCATTTGGCTCATACAATGTGTCAGGCAGGGTCCCCAGTATTGATAATAGAACAAGAAAAATAAAACTGTCTCTATCCTTCCCAAGGACCTTCCTCTTCTCTTATGGAAGTAACATATGTAGAAAGTTTATATATACACACACATACATATATATACACATACATATGTACATACTGGTATGTGTATATAAACTAACTTTCAGGCATTGGGGGTCAAGATAGGCTTCTTTTGAAGGAGGTAGCTTTTGAGCCGAGCTTTGAAAGAAGCCAGGGATTTATTTCCATTGATGTTTCCACTAATCTTTCTGGTCCCCAGTATTCAAAATCTCAGAATCATTAAGCTCCCTCTTAAGCACAGTGTCTCTTCTGGCTGGGATGCTTTATCTGGATTCTTAGGGTCTGTCCCTCCCTGGAGCTGGAACTTGACTCTAGATAGCCAGGGCTAGCCTTCTCTTGAGTCTATAGTTGGTTTCTCTCTTTTACTTCGAGGCCTGGGTCAGTCATAGTTTATTCATAAAGTTTTATTCATAAACTTAGTTCTGGACATTAAATGACCACTTTTCTGAATCAGTGTCTAGAGTGTGTCTCTTGTCACTTCAATTCTGCCTCACTCTCTCTTACTGATTTTACATCTGTTGGATGTCTTTCTGGACAAATAGTTCTATTGGTATGGCCTCTTGAGGTAGAGGAGAGAGAAAGTCCCTTCTTCTCCTAAAAGGTGAATATCTGGGTTCTTCCTTGATTTCTGAACTCTTAAGCTGCTGGTTGTCTCCAGGGCTTAGCTATTTAAAGACCCTTGGAGTATGACCAGTTTTCAGCTCATTGGAGTTACATCTTCTAATTTAGAGAGGTGTTCATATTTCACAGAGGAATTTCCACTGTCATTTTGGTTCAGGTGTTGATCAGCTCTAGTTTGGACTATTGTATAGCCCTCTTACTGGTCTCCTTGTTTCCACTCTTTCTCCAAGTCAATCCTTCACCCAGTTGCTGACAATCTTGTGAGGTGTGGGGTTGTGATTGCAATGCCTTTCAGGTGCACATGAGGACAGCTACACTAACTAACCCCCACTCCTCTCTGATATTGACTTCTCAATTTCAGAGGCAGTCTAGTGGGTGTGCTCTGGTGTATTTTCAATAAATAACCAAAATTACAGAAATTTTCTTCAGTTGGCTTATCCTGCACTCTGGAGTAAAACCAGAGAAGTCTCTTCTCCCATGGGATAATTTCTCATCTCTGTCTTAAACTGTGAACTTAGAAGCTTAGACAAAAATCACTGTTAATTTCCATGTAATTTTTAGCTATATAAAGTAATTTTAAAATGCAGGTAAACATTCAAATAAGTCTCTCCTTTCCTATAGCCTCCTCTTAGATGATTTTTGTTTTTGCTTTTAGTGAGGCAGTTGGGGTTAAGTGACTTGCCCAAAGTCACACAGCTAGTAAGTATTAAGTGTCTGAGGCTAGATTTGAACTCAGGTCCTTCTGACCTCCAAGGCCAGAGCTTTATTCACTGCACCACCTAGCTGTCCTCTCTTAGATGATCTCATGGAAGGTTTTTGAAAAAAGGGATTGAGATTAAAACTCTGAGAAGAAATTTCCTAAGCACTGTGCTCTGGAAAAACAGGAAAAAAAAGAACCTATTGCCCTAAAGTCTGGTTTGGTCTGGTTTTACCTCAAGTCCACTCTTGCCATGTGACCAGCTTTTCTCTTCTTGTTCTCTAGTCTACATGCTCATTCACTTGTGCCCCACTTTTGCCTCTCTGCTCCCCATTTGGAGCCCCAAAACTTGGGCAGAAATCCTTTCCTTAAGGCCACTGGACCCACCCTCTCCCTCCAGACAAATAGAACCCTATGGAATGATTGCAAACAGTCTAGCCCATGGATTCTCAGTCATCTTGGGTACATCCTCCAAAATTTCTGTTTTTGGATAGGTCTTCCAAAGTCTCTGTGATCCTGTGTTTTGGCCACATAGGGCAACCCTAATGCAACATGTCTTATGGTAATCCTTGGCTGGCTCCCCATTGTCTGTTAAGTTAAAAATACTGGTCTCCTGCAATCTAGTTGCTACCTACATTTCCCCTGTTATTTCATACTCTTCTCCTTAAGAAATGTTATGGCCAGATTGAATTCCTGGCTGTTTTCTTGTTTTCGTCCTGCCTTTCTCTCACACTCAGGAGTTCATGCATATCATCCCTCATGCCTAGACCCAACCCTTCACATCTCCAACAAAAGGAAGCAGATGGGAAAAGGCCAGCTTAGGTGTCAGTTTTTTTCCTTTCTCTTCCTTAATCCATCAACTAAAAGTGTTTTCCCTTCTCACTTTTCTTACAGCTCTTTGTCTTCTTCTCTTTCTTGCCTTTACCATAGTCTACCCTCCATCATATTTAAGGAATTCCTTTTCTATTAGGAGAAAATGAGCTCCTGAGGGACAAGAATTATATTGTTTTTCATCCTGGTGCCCTTGCAGCATGGTGCTTTGCATGTAGTAGGTGCTTAATGGTTATGAAATGGAGTTTGGGGAAGATTACCTTAATGGATTGTGTGGAAGGGAGGTTGTTTAGGAGACTACCCTAGTGTAATTGAGGAGTGAGGTTTTTGGGGCCTGATTGGAGTGGTAGCTGTGGGAGTAGGAAGGATTGGTTATGAACCAAAAATAGAATCAAAGATGATGATGATGTGGTTTTCAAACCAGCCTTTATTGAGAAAAACAGTTTTTTTTCATTCTCCCCCTGATCCCAACTTTACTGGATTAATATATTTAATTCCTTCCTTCCCCTCATACCCAAGAAGAAATGTTTCTTCCTCCTTGGTTGTTCCATGACTCTTTCACCCATCTTGGCTGGGAATGATCTGGTGTCCCATAGAGAAATCCTACAAGATGGAGGGGTCCAGTCCTCGAGACTCAGGTGTTCCCATTTTCTCTCTTTCCCAGGTACCAGTTTTGCGCATGATGGAAGGTGACACTATCTATGATTATTGTTGGTATCCTCTGATGAACTCAGGCCAGCCAGATACGTGCTTGTAAGTCTTGACATTTAATCATCTTTAATCTGATGGGGACAGACTCAGTGTCTCTTGATATTTCAAGAGAATATATTGGGGGAGTCAGGGGAAGGTGGAATGCTGTCAGGGAAGCCATTAAGAAGAGGAAGGTCCTGTCTGTCTTTCAAAGGGGAGCTGAGAAGCCTAGTTTGTTTCCTCTGTGTACTGTCTTTATAAATTTTCCTCATTGTCACTGTTTTCCTAACAGTGTGGCCAGTAGCAGCCGTGAGAACCCTATCCATATTTGGGATGCCTTCACCGGGCAGCTTCGGGCCTCCTTTCGGGCCTACAACCACCTGGTATGAACACCCCTTCTTCCCTGGGGACCTATCCAGGTCCTAAGCTGCCTGCTCTTTCCCTGCCCTTGGGGATCTGGGTGTCTGGCGTTTCAGTTTCCAGTAATCTTCTTTCTCCCTTTTCTATTTCAGGATGAATTGACTGCTGCCCATTCTCTCTGCTTCTCTCTGGATGGCTTGAAGCTCTTCTGTGGCTTCAACAGAACCATACGGATCTTCTCCACATCCCGACCTGGGAGACAATTTGAAACAAGACCCACATTTGGTGAGGATCAAGACAGCTTAACTGTCAGTTCTCAGCATTATCCCCAAGCCCTCTACCCAAAAAGGATTTTAATGGGGTTTTCTCAGGACACTTCCTCAAGTTCCTTTCCCCATGGGCACTCTTAGCTTTGTGTTCTGGGTAGCGAAGGCCACAGGTTGAAGGGAAGGATGGGACTGAAGATTATGTACCTGGGTCCTTCCACAGGGTGGTAGGAGGAACTGGGAAAAGCAAAGTGGACAGACTTGTATTGACTGGCTGCTGTAAATTTGTTATCTAATCTCATCTGGGTTCTTACAAGACAGTCATTCAAATCCTCCTTAATTGATTCTCTTTCCCCTTACAAACACACCATCTCCCCCATCCTTAAACAAAACCCTCACTAGAGGGTATCACTAGGTACCATCACTAATGAGTATCATCTATCTCTCCTCCCCTTCTTAGGTGAACTTCTTAAAAAAAAAGCTATCTGTACTTGGTGGCACTGTTTCTCTTCTAAACCAGGGGTGGGAACCTCTGTCTTTCTAGGTCCTCGGGTGTGGCATTTTGACTGAGTCCAAGTTTTATGGAACAAATCCTTTTATTAAGGGGATTTATTCTGTGAAGTTTGGATTCAGTCAAAGGGCCAGCCTTGAGGACCCAGAGGGCAACATGTGGCCTAAGGCCCCACCCCTATTCTAAACACTGTGCAGCCTGGCTTCTGGTCTCATTGCTCATCACATTAGGCAGCAGTGGATACAGTGCTGGGCCTGGACCCAGGAACACCTGTATTTGAATCCTTCCCCAGACACTTACTAGCTGTGTGACCCTGAGCAAGTCACTTAACCTCAGCCTCAGTGAGAATAATAGCACCTACCTCATAGAGCTGTAGTATCAAACTGGAGAACCAAGGTGCTTTGCAGATCTTAAGTGTTACATAAACCCTGGTTATCGCCGCTTGATTGAGAGTGCTGTCTCCAGAGTTACCAGCAGTCTTTTAGTTGCCAACTCCCATGGCTTTTTCTCAGCCCTTTAGGTTCCAATGTCAGCTCCTCTGGGTGACATTTAAAGCCCTTCACAACCTGGCCCCTTTCCAGTCGGCTCCTGTATTGTTTCTCTGCCTTTGCTCTGTGGTCTAGCCGGATTGGCCTATGTGCTGTTACTCACCCATGATCCTCCGTCTCCCATCTTTTTGCCTTTAGAGGTACTGGTTGTCCTCCATGCCTGGAGTACTTTTCTCCCTTCTGCTTTCTGGAATCCCTGGCTTCCGTCAAGACCCTGCACCAGTGCCAGCATTAGGCTGTCCTCCTTCTCCCCTCCAGCTGCTAGTGCTTTTCCCTCTAAGGCTGCCCTCATAGCCTACTTTTTATATATCTTATATATACACCTACATAATACACACGTGTATCTATGTACACACATAGACGCACACACACACATACACTGGATCTCCTGTTAGAGTACAAGTACCTCGAGGGCAGGGACTTTTTGATTTGTATCCCCAGTGCCTAATTAGCATAACAGCTGGAACATAGTTGGTACTTAATTATAGTGATTGATAGATACTTGGGTTCCCTGAGGAGAAGCTAGGAGTGGGGGAGAAGCCCAGTTCTTGAGTAACCTTAGAAGGGAGTTAGAGGATTTTGAAGGGGTGGCCATGCCTTTGTCTTCATCTTATCCTCTTTTGCTCTTTCCCACACTAGCCAAAAAACAGGGCCAGAGTGGGATTATTTCATGCATTGCATTCAGCCCAACCCAGCCTCTCTATGCCTGTGGCTCCTATGGCTGCTCCCTTGGTCTGTATTCCCAGGATGATGGCTCTGCTCTTGCTCTGTTTTCGGGGCATCGTGGAGGCATCACCCACCTTTGCTTCCATCCTGATGGCAACCGTCTCTTCTCAGGGGCCCGAAAGGTGGGAGTTTGATGCATGGGGCTAGGGTGGGTGGGCAGTTGCACAGTCATGAGTTAGATATCATTTTACTGGGAGGGAAAGTGATATTAATTGCAGAGGGATTGATGGGGCTGGAGAGCTGGGCTGTGAGGGGAGTAGGTTTGGGGGTTTGAATTCACTGAATGGCTTAGCTTCCCCCTCAGGATGCCGAACTCCTGTGCTGGGATCTCCGGCAGCCAGGCCATTTACTTTTGTCCTTGACCCGAGAAGTCTCTACTAATCAGCGGATCTACTTTGACCTGGACCCGTGAGTAGCCATAGTCCTCTTCTTTTCCAAGCAACTGAAGAGCCCCTTTCCCCATCCTCCGAGGGAAACCAGTGTGGATCCTTGGGTGGGTGGCACGTGGGAGGGACCCAAGCAGCTGGGCAATAGGACTTGTGAAGTCTGATGCAATTCTACCCTTTTGTTCAGGACAGGACAGTTCCTAGCAAGCGGCAGCACTGATGGAGTTGTGTCAGTATGGGACACCAGTAGGACTGGGGAAAACCAGCAGGAGCCACTGATGAGTTTTCTACCTCAGAATGACTGCACCAATGGCGTTAGGTAGGAGGCCTGGATGTCTTGGCGAATTTGGAGTCAGTCACTTTAGCCCCTGTTGCATATCCAGCACTGTGCGGAGTGCTCTCGAGGAACTTAGTCTAAGGGGAGGTAGAACATGAAAACAGCTGTGTCCAAACAAATTACATGCAGGATTCATTGGAAATAATCAACAAGAAAAGACACTAGTGTTAAGGGGGATTAAGAGACTTTACTGGGAGGTGGGTTTTTAGCTGGGACTTGAAGCCAGGAGACAGAGTTGAGGAGGAATATCATTCCCAGGCATTAGGGACAGCCAGTGAAAATGCCCAGTCAGGAGATAGACCGTAGCAAGGAGGCCGGTGTCACTGAATTGCAGAGTATGCATGGGAGGAGTAAGGTATGAGAAGATTGGAATGGTAGGAGGAAACCAGGAGCCTCTGGCTTTGAATGATCCTAAAGGTGATAGGGAATGGGAAGGGGTGATAGGGTTATATCAGTTACACCTGTGCTTTAGGAAGTTGAAGTTGATAGTCAAATGGGGAGAGACGTGAGGCAAGCAGACCAACCAGCAGACTGTTTAAATGGTCTTGGTATGATGAGGGGCTGAACCAAGGTGGTGGCAGTGTCAGGAGAAGGGGGCCTGATGTGAAAGCTATTACAATGGTAAAATCAACCAGACTTAACAACATATTTGACATAGGGGGTAAGAGGAGAATAGAGAGTGGAGAGAGGCTCAGTCTGGGTGACTGGATGGATTAAGAAGGGAGGAAGATTTGGGGGAGAAGATGAGCTGGAGGTACATGCTTTGGGAAAGAAGCAGCTGGACTGGTACTGGAAGAGTGCGGGGCTGGGGCTCTAACATCCCTCTCTCTCCTCCCTCTTTCCCTCCTTCCCTAACAGTCTCCACCCAAGCATGCCTCTGCTGGCCACATCCTCTGGCCAGCGAGTTTTCCCTGAGCCGACGAACAGTGAGGATGAAGAGGGGCAGGCCAGCGGGGTTCCCCTGCTGTCAGTGAGCCATGCCCATCCCGACTTTCGCCTCCAGCTGTGGTGGTGTGGGGGTGCCGCAGACTTAGAAACCCCTGACTGCAAAGAAATGGGCAAGGAAGATGGTCCTGGGGGGGGAGAATGTGGGGCTGTATAAAGGTTTTTGGAGATAGTAGACCGAGTACTGTGTTCTTTTTGGGAGGAGGGTGCCTAGTTTTCCTGCTGAGTCTAGTGTGATCTGTCACTTTGTGCCTGGAGGTGGGAGGGATGAGGGATGGGAGCCAATCCACAGCAGAGCTCAGTGTGAGGTCACTGTGAAGTGTGGGTGGGGTTTCCAGTCATTGTTCCCATAGTTGCCAGGCAACCTGGTAAACTGAAGGGGGTGTGTGTTCAGGTTTTGCTCCCTAGCATTGTGTGTGTGATGTGGAGCTCTGCTGTGTAGTGCCCGCCTTCCCCCCCCCCCCCAGGGTCTGTTGGAGTGTGACTGAATTGATGTGGCAGGTCTCTGTGATTGTCTTAATGTGGGGGGGAGAGGGGTCGTGTGTGTTTCAGGGTGTGAGATTTTTGTGGAGACAAACAACAGCTCGTATACACTGAAGACCGTCAATCATTCTTTCGAGCACTAAGTTGGGCTTCACTCCCAGTCTTTTTTAGGGGGGTGGGAGGGAGAGGAAGTTGTTTTTTCCTCCCCCCTTTTGGGGTTCCTACCTACCAGAGCCTGACAGCTAAGAAAAGAGAGGGTGTGGAAAAGTAAAGGTGATAGACAAATAATGGAAGTAGGATTAATATTCACACAATATATAGGGCTTGTACAAAGTGCCTAATTCATTAATCCAATAATTGGGTTCTAACTTCTTGTTTTCCAGTCCAAACAGTGAGTCCTGGGATGCGCATTCTTCCACACAGAAGGAGGAGAGTTGGAGAGGTTTCTATCTACTTCTCTATGCTGGAGTCTCCTCATCTCCCCCTCCAGCTTGTTTCCCTTCTCCATAAACTCCTAAATTGAGGACTCAAGCATTTCAGACCCTATGCTATCTTCATTGCATATGGGGAGGGACAGAGGAAGGCATGTTTCTTTCCTGGTAGGATTTCCTAGTCTAATGGGAGATATTAACCTTAACTGGATAGAAAAGCAAGGGGGAACTGTGTCCATGGGGTAGGGGGAGGACCCCTGTCCTGGCTGTCCCCCACCTTCCTGTTGGATCTGTTTATCTTCTGAACTCATTTCCAGCCTACTTTCAGGTTTCACTTTAGCTGGTTGGGCTCTTGAAACCATTTGGGTCCCCTCCCTCCCCTCTCTCTCCCCAATAAGTACAAGGTCCTAATATGTACAAAGCTCTTGGAGGAAATGTTTTGCGCTTCTGTTTTTATACATAAAAAGGGAAGTTTTTCCCTCCATCTTCCCTCGTCTGCTGTCTCAGTCTTTACCCTCCACCTGCACAGAAAATGATAACTGAAACTTCTGTTGTGGTTTTATGTATGTCATTTGCTCCTTATGACAACCCTGGGAGGGAGGGCTAGTATAATCCTATTTTACAGGTAAGGAAAAGAAACCCAAGTCAAATCACTTGACTAAGATCCCACAGCTGGGAAGTGACTGTTGTAAAGGCTGCTGCGCCCAGCAGAGTGAAGTGTTTACAGTAGGATTAGAATCCAGATCTTTTGGTGCATCCCTCATTTTCCCCCACTACAGCAGGTTTTCCTCCCTTGGAAGCCTCTGAACTGGAAGGCAGTGAACTGCCATAGTTTTCCGTATCCTGAATTAATTTCCTTTTGCCACTTTCTCTACCTTCACATTTCCCTCCCCTGCTGGGGAAAGGTCCTTTCTGGGTTTCAGATTCTCTCTCTTCTCCCTCATTTCACTCACTAGATGATAAAAACAAAAACAAAAAACTGGACTGACTACACGCTAGCGAAGCTGTATTTGTTGGCTTTGGGGGAAGTGGGAAGGATGCTGCAAGAGTGAAGGAGGCTTAGTTCTCGCAGGTAGGCAGGGCTGGGCTCTAGCTAACGGCCAGGTTCTTTTAAAAGCAGCAGGAGGAAGCTGTAAGGTCCAGGTGACTGAGGGTGAGAGGAGACAGCCAGAGACAGAGAGAAGGAAAAAGAAAGTCGACTTAGAGAAACAAAGAGAGTAAGAAAGAGTTGGGCGGGGTTGAAGCCAGCACTGGTGGGAGGTGTGGGTGTTGTGGTAGGGAGTAGGGTATGGGATCCTGCCTCCTCTAACTCCAGATCCAGTTTTTCCCTTCATCCCTCCCTCTCTCCGCCTCTCCTTTAACTCCCCCCTCCTGAGCTCTGGACTCTAGTCTCCTCCCCTAGCCTGCTGCCCTCAGTCCCCAGCTAGGCTAGGGCTCCAGCTCCATTCCCAGCTTTGGCTCTCCCTCCCTCCGGCACCCCCATGCCTTCCCTGCCTGGCCCCCCACTCCCTCAGCCTCCCCCAGCCCCTCACTAGGCCCCCTCAAAAATCCCGGGGTGCTGAACTGTGGGCAGGGGTGTGTGTGTGTGTATGTGTGTATATGTGTATATGTGTGTGTTTGTCTATGTGTGTGTGCATGTGTGTGTAGAATCTGCAGGTGGATTGGGGGGGGGCTCCCTGGAAGAATCTTGTGGGGTTGAGCATTGTAAGGAAGAGGGTTGGAGAAGAGTAGGGTAGACAAGTCAGGGGGAAATTGGAGGTGGGGCAAGCAATCAAAGGGAAACCGGGAAGCTTGAGCGGTATAGGTCAGAGACTGCAAGGAGGGGGGTTGTGAGACCCCTGTGGGGTGGCCCAGGCTGTGTGTGGCTTTGGGGGAAGTTGGTGCCTCCACCCCCCCCCAGGCCTTGGCAGGGGGGGGTAATGGGGGCCCTCCATCCTGGGCTGGGGGGCGTGAGAGTCGGGGGGCTGCTGCTGGGCCTCTTGGGGCTGGTGTCGGGGCTTAGCCTGGAACCTGTCTACTGGAACTCGGCGAATAAGAGGTGAGCTGGGTGGGGGGGAAACTTTGGGGGTCTAGGTAGCCACTGCCACCACTACCACGGCAGAGAAGTAGCCATTGAGAGGATTATGGACTTTGGGAGAGCTTGACATCTGGGTAAAGAGATTTTGGGCTAGACAGAGGACAAGAGTTCTGTGGTCCCCAATGCAATTAGAAAGATGCCATTTGAAAGCTGAGAAACCAGATGTTTGAGCCCCGAACAAGAGATGTAGGTATAGGTGATCTGAAATCTGAGATCTGAGGTATAGGTAGGGGAGAGGAGTAGGATGCCCAAAGTTTAGAAGACCTCATAGAGGAGAGGGATATAAAGTTCAGGGGGGAGGGGTAGGAACAAGTTGGGGTGTCTGGATTTGTGACTGATTTGTTTGAGAGGGCTAGGGGGCTAAAGAGTATCTGGTCCATTCATTTGTTAGGTATAATCGGAGTAATATTTGGAGCCTCAGGATCTTAGGGAGGGTGCCTTCCCTCTGTAGGCAGCGTGGTTGGATTAAATGTAGAGTGTAGAAGGATCTCAGTCTAGTGCATCAACTTCCATCAGTTATCCTATATTACCTTTTTCCATGCGGCTCTGTCCTCTGTCCCTGGCCTTCCTGCCTTTTGGGTCTCTTCATGATGGCAAGCATTACGCCACCACAAGGTCTTCCTCCTATCCGCTTTGGGTAGGGTTAGTTAGCCATATCCCTCTTGGATCATTATTAGCTCTGGGACATCCTACTGCCTCTACTTGTTTTACCAAGATGAGGGTCTAAGGGTCAGAGGGGACCTCAAGCAAAACAGGACAGACAGGTCATTCATCCCTCTGCCTCAGTTCAGGACTACCCCTCCCCTAGTCAAGAATTGTTTAGAAAACCACCTCTTTCCTCAGCTGCCAAGTCAGAGCCTTTTTCACTGAACTCCTTCCCTATGGACTTACTACAGTACCCCATCCTCATTAGACTCCTTTGGGTATAATTTCAGTGCTTCCCAGCTCAGCTCGATTCCATCCATCACTGGAGGAGCTAAGTAAGGAGGGGGTCCTTCTCAAACAGGGAGATAGAACCTGCTCAACATAGGGAGATAGGAACTCCTCCAGCTCCACTCCTGTTCCTCCTTTCGGTGTATGGAAGAGGGTGAGCAACACAGTTAACTTCATGGACTACTGCAAGTAGTTATCTTCTGTTCCTAACCTACACTCCAGCTATAGGGTACAGCAGGAAGTACGTAGATCCGACTTGCAGGGCTTGCTGACAAGGAGAGAGAGAGTTCTGTGGATCTTCTTCCTTGGGAATTGCTACGCAGGATATGAACTCCTGGGTTGGAGAGGGAGTTGGCCAGTCAAGAGGAGGCAGAGTAAGACATAGAATCTCCATGACCCTGGAAGGATCAGTATTTAACATCCTGTCACTGTCATTGATGCAGAGAGAATATGGATAGCAATAGATGGTTTAGTTTGTGATGGGAGTAGGGGCTGGAGAATCATATGCCTGGGTACATGAGGGCAGGATTGAAGTGAGTCATGAATCTCATTCTAGGGCCGGTATTATTTCCCCCAGCAGGGGGGTGGCTGCTAAAGCTTTAGAGTTATTTTTCTCAAGGAAATTAAAATCTGGGATGAGAGGGGACAGAAGCTAGGGATGATCTTAGGCATTCAAATCCCCAGCTCTGGTTTTCATTAGGGGCCCAGGTCTCTAGCCCCCAAATGGTCCCATCTTCAGTGCTTTATTTCCTCTGATCACATTGCCATGGCAACCACTATGATATCACTGGGCTGGCATTGATGGGAAGAAATCCCCCCTTCCATCCCCATCTCTCTTCCTCTATGCCCTGATGCTCTGGAGTTACCTTGAGAATGAGTGAGGTCACCTTGGAAGGCAATGATGTCACTGTGATTGCCTTATGGCATTAGGGGTTGGGGTGGATGCTGTGACCTCACGCTTGGTTGCTATGGACTATAATGATTAAGCCACCAGTGAGGGGTGGGCCCCGTGACTCCAGAGAGGCCAGCTCCTTGGCAACTGGCATCCTGTTACCATGACAACAGGCCAGGTGATGGAGCTTGGATGACAGAGTGTGTATAGTTTGGTGGGGGGAGAGTATCGAGTAAAATACATCGGGACATATTGAGGGGTAATGAATCCAAGTGTCTGTTCCATTCCTCTCTCCCCAGCTATTTTTCTTTAGTCCCTGCTCCCTTTAGGGACCAATATATTAAGTCTATTAGTAT